GACAGTGCTACGTGGCAAACTTACTATGAACCACAATGGCCTCAGGCCCAGTGTGCTGCTGCCTCCTGAACTGGAAACAGAGCAGTGATACCCAGGCAGTGCTTTGTGCAGGCTACGTGGCACTACTGATTGAGGGCATGTCTATCTTGCCTTTGCCAGTGCTAGAAGGACCACCAGGAAAACACACCTTGCCTTCTCACTCCCACTCTGCTTGAACAGTAAATGGCCAAACAAAGCAATTTATCTTCCATTTGAGTGGTGCTGGGTCCATGCCACCAAGCCTATGACAGAAGCACTGGGCATGCCCTGGGTACGTGCCTGACAGCAGCTACATTTACATTTTTTTTTGCCATTTGACACAGAGATTGGGAGCAAGTGGGCAGAGACTGTTTCCACGTGGGTGTGGCCTAACACAGTTGGAGGGGGGTGCAGTTAGGCTTCAGTGGTGCTACTTAGCCCACTCCTTTGCTAATTAGCCAACTCATTGTGGCCCATATGCTCAACAACACAGTACCCAGGTTAGGGTGTAGTTTGCTTGGAGTTGTATAGCATGTTTAGAAAGGACCTTCAGGAGCCTGGATAGTTTTGTTTCTAGCTACTATTGCTATTCTCTTGAATATAGGTTCATACTGCAGTAGCTGCAGGCCTTCCAGGAGTGCAAGGGTGACCACACATGCTGTTTCCATGTGGGCAGTTTTATTTTAAACACCTGTCCTCAGTCTCCCATCCATACTGCTCCATATTCTTGTTGGGGAAGGCAACCTGGAACAGAATATGGTGTTGGTTGCACTAATCCTTAAATATTGGTGGAGTTTATTTCTTTGCTCTCATGTGGCTCATATTTGTAGTAAGAATGTCATCTATGTTTTGTGTTTGTCGTACAAACACAGTATAATACATGCAGATTTAAAAAAAAATTCTTGCTCCCTGTCTCTGGCCTACATTTCAGTATAGAAGCTATAGTGCAGGTGGTGTGTGTGTGCTTGGGCTGTTTGTATGACTATTTAGGGGGAGTATTTTGAGAGGATTTTGCATCAGCTATATTGTAACCTAGGGTACAAATCAATAGAAGTTATGGCTAATGTTTCATATTTATTCCTTTGAAAAACTTACTTAAACAGAACAAAAGTTCTTGCAAATGAATAACTTGTTTAAGAATGGCTTCTTCAGTGAGTCCTTAGGAGCATGACAGTGGTGTAGTGAAGAGGGAACTTCTTCCCTGCAGCAGCACACCCCAAAGAAGCAGGAGGTGGAAACACTAGGTAAAGTATGGCTGTGTATGTAGTGCTAGGTGCCAAGAATAGCTTGAGCACTTTCTCCTTGTGGTGGGCCAGTAGGAGGTGCTCCTGCACTGAGCCATCCACCTCACTGCACCTGACCACCTTCCAGGCTCCAAGTGCCTCCCTGGGGGTGCCTCACATCTGGCCAACCCCCTTCCTGGAGCATACCCGCTAGCCTGGGGGTAACTCTGCTACCACCCAGAGTCTGAACTGATCCTGGACCTGTGTCCTCTGGGAAACACAGGCCTATTAGCCCTTAAGGGTACTTGACCCACTACAAGAACTTGGGGTGCTTCCCCCAGTCTGAAGCACAAACAGTGTTCTCCCTTAGTCAGCTGAACCAAGAGGACCCCAAGGCATAATCTAGATCCTCTCCCAATAAGTCTCCCATGCTAGGTATAGAGGATAACTTTATTGGTTACAAGGAGTAGATTTGGAATATGGTAAGGGTAGAGCAATATCAGAGAAATCCCTTAGAACAAAGTGGCATGGTAGCCTTTGATTACGCATCTGTGTTACTGCAAGCTATATATCTAGTTAGATCTCAGGTAGCTTACTCACAAGTATCATCCAGAGGCAGGTGGTGATTCCCTCTGGAGGCAAACAGTTCATTGATAGTGAGTTTCAAGAGCAAGAGCGAGTTTCAGATGGTCCAGCTTCTCTGTGAGCTTTCATCATGGCTGCTGCCACTCCTCCTGGGCAGTCCTTCACTTATATTGCCCTTATGACCTCATTTACCTGGTCCAGTGAAGACCAGCAACTGTTGGCTTCTAGCCAACCAATTTGAAATGCATCACTGGTTGCCAGGTAGACTGGCAGGGGATTTAGCGCCCTCCCAGTCATGTTCGCATTGCTTAGAACAATAGGGGGCTTAAGCCCCCCACCCAGGTATGTGTGGCCAGTCACGTAGGCAGATGGAGCAGGTTTCCCCCCTCCCTCAGGAATATATCTAGCTCAGGTTACAACTCAGGATTCCCTGAAGAGATGGGGCAGAGGTGCCTACCCTTTGCAGTGACCATGGTAACCGAATTGTCAGATATCAGAGTTTGGGGAAAGAGAGAGATGGTATTCTGCCACACTCCTCATAGGCCATGCTAGATCCCAGCCCTCCAGGACAGGACCCAGGCAAGATGGTATGTGTTGTGTCTGAGCACACGATATGGGGTGGTTAATAACAACAACTACAACAATAATAATTAATACCAACTAATAAGAATAATAGCAAGAATAATGGTTTTCTTTAATGTGTAACGTGTATTTGGCCAGATTTGTCTCTAGTAACTTCAGCAAAGTAACACCAGAGATGAATTTGTTCATGTCTAAAACCCAAGTTGTCATAGTCTCTGCTTAATACTGCCATTTATTTTCTGTACTATTCATTTTCTGAAAACATTCATTAATTGAAATTATTTTATTAATTGTCCCTAAGCTATTGTCTAGTCATACAACCTTGCTTGTTTTTTTTTTAAATGTCTGTTTCCTGTAGGGAGTCTTCTATAGATGTTCTCATGTAGCTGAGTTCATGCAAATTCATTTAATGTCATCTCAACTCTTGCTGGCTCAGTTCAACAAAGTTCAGGCTATTGCTGTTTCAGATTGTGAAAGCTGAGTTCAGGTCATCATAGTTAACAGGTCAGAGTAGTAAAGAAACTGTTCTTTACTACTTAGCAATAGAAATGCTATCCTAACTATCCAAGTGTTTCAAAATTAGCCAATATTTTAGCTAGGTTTTTTCACTTTAAAGTATTTTGATACAATGAAAATAGAATATTTCAATGCTTCCAAAAATAATTTTGCATCTTGGTTTTGTAAATATGAAATCAAATTTTTCATCCTGACTAGGGATAAAATGAAATTCTCAAAATTATAATTTTATTTAATGAGACCAAATTTCATTTTTCAGTCAGATCTATTTGGCCAAGGTCATACAAAAATGCATTGGCCATATTTGCAATGAATTCTTAGTGCCCCAATTCCATATTATCCTCTCCAACAGCTGGCCAGACGCATTCCTTCTCACCTCAGCTGTGTCAAGTTTTGAGGTACCAAGTGACTAATATACAGCCTTACTTGCCAACTTCTAATGATTGTTTTTCTAACTGGAATAAAACATAATTGGCCAGAAATGTCCCTAGTAACTTCAGAAGATTAGCACTTGAGATGAATTTCTCCATGTCTAAAACCCAGACTTTCAAGGTCTCTGCTTAATGCTGCCATTAGATTTTTTTTTTACATCCGTTTCCTCCTGGGTGCTTTGTTGAACGTAAGTACTAACTGAGTTCATGCAAATTTAATTACTGTCAACTCAACTCTTGCCAGTTCATAAAAGTTCAGGCCACTGCCAGTTCAGATTGTGAAAGCTGAGTTCAAGTGAGTTTGGGTCATCAAAATTAACAGGCTCACAGTCTAGCAATTTACTGCTCGTTAATAGAAGTGCTATCCTAACTCTAGAGATGTGGCTCTGCTGGTGGGTGCAAGTTTGAGCAATCTATTTTGGACTAGACATGTGACATGTCCCATGGTGCAGGTGCAGCATGGCTTGGCAGGGTGCTGCGTGCTGTTTGGGAGCTGGGCCAGCTCCACCTGTCAGCCAGAGCTCCCAGTTCGATTCCCAGCTCTCTGATCATTCCCCCAGCTCTTCCCAGGGTGTGCAGCCCCTGGATCTGTGTGTGGGGTTTTAGCAGGCTGCTGCTGCCAGCTGGGGAAATACCCCAGAGCCACCGCCATCCCCAGCTGGCAGTGGCAGCCTGCTGTCATCCCGCACCCTCCTGGGAAGAGCTGGGAGAAGCGATCAGAGAGATGGGGAATCGAATCGGTAACTGGGGGAATGTTCAGGGACCTGAACATTTCCCCAGCCCCCGGTTCGATTCCCCAGCTCTGGGGTTGGAAGGGACCTCAGGGACAGATTGTTGTCATTGGCCAGCTACAGATGTCAATATCAGAGCAGTCCTCCACTGCCGTCAAAACATTCAAATCAGAAACAAAATGAAACAGCCATCAAAATTTCACACACCCCTAGTATTTAGATATATACACACAATGTTGGGTGCATCTACACACGCTATTTATGCTATAAAGGCTTACTGGGCATGTCTACACATGCGCCAAAGTGCATGGTTGTTACTATGTAGT